TAGAGCCCTAATATCCAGAGTATACAAAGAACTCAAAAAATTAGACAATAAGAGAACAAACAACCCAATCAACAAATGGGCCAAGGACCTGAACAGACACTTCACAGAGGAGGACATACAGTCAATCAACAAGTACATGAAAAAATGCTCAACATCTCTAGCTGTCAGAGAAATGCAAATCAAAACCACCCTAAGATACCATCTCACTCCAGTAAGATTGGCAGCCATTAGGAAGTCAAACAACAACAAGTGCTGGCGAGGATGTGGGGAAAAGGGTACACTTGTACATTGCTGGTGGGACTGCAGATTGGTGCAGCCAATTTGGAAAGCAGTATGGAGATTTCTTGGAAAGCTGGGAATGGAGCCACCATTTGACCCAGCTATTCCCCTTCTTGGTCTATTCCCTAAAGACCTAAAAAGAGCATGCTACAGGGACACTGCTACATCGATGTTCATAGCAGCACAGTTCACAATAGCAAGACTGTGGAACCAACCTAGATGCCCTTCAATAGACGAATGGATAAAAAAAATGTGGCATTTATACACAATGGAGTATTACTCTGCATTAAAAAATGACAAAATCATAGAATTTACAGGGAAATGGATGGCATTAGAGCAGATTATGCTAAGTGAAGCTAGCCAATCCCTAAAAAACAAATGCCAAATGTCTTCTTTGATATAAGGAAAGTAACTAAGAACAGAGTAGGGACGAAGAACAGGAGAAGAAGATTAACATTTAACAGGGATGAGAGGTGGGAGGGAAAGGGAGAGAGAAGGTAAATTGCACGGTAATGGAAGGAGACCCTCAGGGTTATACAGTGGAGGGGGTAGAGAGAGAGGAGGGGAGGGGAGGGGAGAGGTGGGGAGGGGGGAGGGTGGATGATGGGAAAGGCAGCGGAGCACAACAGACACTAGTATGGCAATTTGTAAATCAATGGATGTGTAACTGATGTGAATCTGCAATCTGTGTATGGGGTGAAGGTGGGAGTTCATAACCCACTAGAATCAAAGTGTGGAATATGATATGTCAAGAAATTTGTAATGTTTTGAACAACCCACAATAAAAAATTAAAAAAAAAAAAAAAAAAAATAGGAGGTTATATTTATGTCCTACTTTTCTGTAGGACAGTTGTGTATGACACCTGCCCCAAACAAAAGAGAGCATTCAGAATAATTAATTGTTTTCTTCACCGATTGATGGAAATTATGCTCCATTTTAATTTGCCTCTTTTCTTGACCTTGCCTCTTATGTTCATTGTTTTCTTCTTTTCCTTTTGTGGTAGCAAATATGTCTTTCTTAATATAGTAAATATTACAGCAATTTCTGATTTTAATTATTGTCTAGCACCTATTCTCTTCATCTACATGTACAATTAAATTCCTATTCAAATTTGTAGTGACTACTTCATAGCTTCAGAATTAGATTGCAGCTTTTTTACACATTTTCTACCTTTCCTATCTCACCACATTTTTACTTGCTTTTTCATCCCCTCTGGTAATGTTTCTCTCATTTTCTCATGTTTTCTCACTTTTTCATTATACTGCCTTTTCTCTTGATTATATCTTAATGTAATTTCCTAAACAAATGTGCAGGAAGTAAACTTTAGATCCCTACATTTCAACATGTTTATTTCAAATTTGATTGTGTCATTGTAGAATTTTAAATGGAAAATATTCCCTCAGAACTCTGAAGAACTTGGTTTTATCTGTCAGAGTCTAATATTGTAAGTGACCAAACATCCACTTTTACTGTTTGCCAGTTATGAACATTTTTTCTGTGAAAACCTTTAAAATCTTCTGTTAATCCAGTGTTTTGAAATATCACAATGTTTCTCGATGTTGGTCTTTTTTCATTCCTCTTATTCAAAACCTGGGAAATCATTCTAATTTTAAGGAGTAGTCTCTTTTAATTATATCTAAAATCATCATCTGTTTCTTTTTTCCTCCCAAATAATGTCTTAAAAAGCTTTTTTGTTGATTGGTAAAAATTCTTGTATATTTTGGGATGTACTAGAGGGTATTTTGTTATATTTTTCTTATCAGTTTATAATACTTAGATTGCCTATCATCTCAAACATTTATCATTCTTTCATGATAAAATTCAAAATTCTTTCCTCTAGCTATTTAGGACTATGTGATACATTACTATTAGCTATAATCATAATTCACAATAGAAAACCAACATTCATAGCTCTTATCTAGCTATAAATGAAAATTATTAAACAGTTTCTCCATATACCCCAGTCTCACCCTCTGCCCTCTGATAATAATTATTCTGCTAACAATTTATGTCAGTTTACCTTTTTTATATTCTTCATATGAGTGAAATCATATTTGGTCCTTGTTTCTGTGTGCTTGCCTAATGCTCAACATTACTAATCTCCAGTTGTATTCATACATAAATGACAGGACTGTGTCCTTTTGATGACTGACTAGTACTCCATTGTGTGTATCTACTGTATTTTCTTTACTCATTGATGAATGGTTGATTTTATATCCTGGCTATTTTGAATAGTGCTGTAATACATATGGGAGAACAGGTATCTATTTGATATTTCATTGCCTTTGAATAAAAATTCATGAATGGGATAGCTGCATCACACAATAGTTGTGTTTCTTTTCTTTTCTTTCTTTCTTTCTTTTTTTTTAAGGCTTTAGTTTGCATTAGTTTTTTCATAGTGGCTTTACTAACTTATATTTCTACCAACAATGTCTAAGAGTACCTCTTTCCCCATGTCCTCGACAGCACTTGTTTTATCTTTTTGATTATAGCCATATCTTGGGTGAGATATCTCAGGATGTGGTTTGGATTTCGTTCCTATATCCCTAATGATGTGGAGGACTTTTGTCTGTATCTTTTGAGCTACTCTACTCAGTTTATTTGCCCACTTTTAAGCTGGACTATTTGCTTTTTTTTTTATTGCTGTTGAGTTCCTTATATAGTCTAGATATTAATGCTTTGTCAGATAGTGTGCAGATATTTTTTCCCATTCTGTAGGTTGTGTCTTACTGTGTCGATTATTTCCTGTACTGCCTAGAAGCTTTTTAGTTCTGCATAACCTCATTTGTCTATTTTTTTTTGTTGTTGTTGTTATTATTTATGCATTTAGACTTGTTTTGAGGTGGTTTATTGGATTATAGTTCCAGGTTACTTTCTTCCCTCTTCCACTTATATTCTACCTCTGTCTTTTTTGTTCTATGAATTTTTAAAAACTATCTTCTAATGTTCATATTTAATTTGAGCTATCTCTTTTACTTTGTTTCTTATATTCCTTTTCTTCCTTCATTTTTTTCATCTTTCTTTCTTTTTGGGGTGAATACTGTTGGTTGGACAAGTATGTGTACCATGTGCCCTGAGCATCCTGCACATTTTTCCTGGGTATGCCACGAAAGGCTTGGCTGCTCTTTTGCCTGTGCAGTTTCTCAGGGTTTTGTGTATAGCGATAAGCTTTGAGGAGTTAGATGTCTCAGACAACTAAAGCACAGAGCACAGGCTTGTTAACAGTCCTCCAAACTTAGTATTTCTCTCCTGTAACACAAGCGACTATAAGTGTAGGCATCCATGAGGGGCCTTTGTGTTACTCTGAGATTGGGGGCAGTGAGAACTAATGCAAACAAAAATTAAGTAATAAACTCTTTTTTCTTTTCTCTCTCTCTCTTTCCTTCTTTCTTTCTTGTCTGTCTCCGACTCAACAGTATTATTTCACAAGAATTTATGCTTGTCTTTTACTTTTTCTAAGTCTATCAGCATTTTCTTTTTAGTGTTTTGACCTATGGAATCTGCTTTTGTTCGGGGAATTTGTTTTAAAATTATGTGAGGTTTTCCTCTCATATCTGATGATTTTTTTTTTATAGTCTAGTCATTAAACAATAGAAAGGCTGACACTGGGATTGGGGAGGGCAAAAGTTTGTGTGTACTATTTATACAAATAGTAGAAGTTTAATTATAAGACCCTTATTTTCAGATCATTTTTTTATCTCTAGACTCTGCTGCTTATGAATCTAGTGTTTTTCCTCATTTCTTACTGTTCTGTAATTGCCTCTTAGATTGTAGCTTTCTCTATCAAATCTGTCCACTAGTTATTTTCTAATATTTCTTTAAATTTCTTATCTGCTGCTAGTTTCAGTCTGTTTGGGACTTTACCTTTGTATTTCTTACATTTTGGGGGAAGCGGACGAGAGAAACAGTTGAGAATAGTTAACTATATAGAAGAAGCATTCTTTTTTTTTAAACTTCTTGCTTCTGGTTTCTCTTATGTTCTTTCCGCAATGCCATTTCTCTGTTTCTCCTTCCCCTAGATCTAGTAGGAAATATCATCATCTGGAAAATCGGCAAATGTTCAATAAAAATAGGTTCAATACAGGAATTAATATTATCTTAGAAAAAGGTTTGTGGCAGCTGGTTTAGTACTCAGAGAAATTGGTGCTTAATTTTAGGTTTATTAAAAGCATTTTTACATAAATACATAAAGGTGAAGTATACCTGTATTTATAGCTTTAAAACTTTACATTTTCTTAGGATTTTTGTTGTTCTGTTAAACTCAAATGAAAATATTTTAAAAAATTGCTGTGTGCCTTTTACTAAAAATTATTGGAAAATTTCATATATATGTATAGCAAATGCCACAGAATGTTTTTATTCCCTTGAACAAATGTTGGTAAATTTTAAAAGAGCATGTCAAACTTTTGGCCCAGCAGTTTTTGTTGCAACTATTCACCTTTACCTTACAGCGTAGCCCTAAGAAATACTTAAATCAGTCAGTATGACTGCACTGCAATATAACTATTAATGGGCAGCAAAATTTGAGTTGTATGTAATTTCATCTCATAAAATATGTTCTTATTTATTTTTATAAACATTATCTTGTAGACCATACTTGTATTATTAGCTTGCAGTTCATACCAGAACTTGTCAGTTCTTGCCCTAGATTACTTGTCCTATTAGAGACTTTTTTATTTGAATATTGATATGTTTTCTATTTGCTCCATTACCTTTTTAGGCAAGCTAATGAAGAATACCAGATATTGGCTAACTCCTGGCGCTATTCATCTGCTTTTTGTAACAAACTGTTTTTCAGTATGGTGGACTATGATGAAGGAACAGATGTTTTTCAACAGGTAAAAAAAAAGTTGTATTTCATTTTGGTAATACATAGTATAGTGGGTTATAGTTGATACATTTTTGCTTGCCAAATAAAACTATATTTCATTAAGTTAATAAATATAATAAGTATTAAAATAAAATATATGATTTGATTAAAGTTATAGTTAATATTATCTCTATCATTTTAGTTTCAGCCATTGTGGGTAAACACATTTTGAAGTTTGTATTGTAGAGCAAATGTGTTTTTATCAGCATACAGTGGCAGTTTACATGCATTAATATTATTTTTTTATTTAATTATATGTGGTCTAGGTAATATTTTGCACAAATTTATGATACTTTGTATAAAACCTAATAGAAGTTTTACTTAACCTTAATTTCTCCATTGTGGTAAATATAAATATTTTTAATATAAATTGTTATTTATTTAAAAGTGTTTTCTCTCTGTTATGGACTGAATTTTATCCCATTCCAAATTCATATGGTAAAGCCATAAATCACAACATGACTATATTTGGAGGTAAGGTGATTAAGGAGGTAATTGACGTTAAAGGAGACCATTAGGGTAAGCTGCTAATCCAATAGGACTGATGTTCTCATAACAGAGGATACATCAGGAGTGAATGTTTGCAGAAAAAAAGACCACTTCATAGCAATAAGGTTGCTTTCTAGCAAAGCTAGCAAAGGAAGGTTCATCAGAAACCAAACCTTGCCAGCACATTGATTTTGTACTTCCAGTCTCCATAAATGTAAGAAAACAAACTTCTGTTTTTTTAAGCATCTTAATCTGTTATGGCAGCAAAGTAGAAGAATGTAACTTCCTTTACAGTCTTCTCTATAAACAAAGTATTGGATTTGGTATACAGATACTAGTTGCCATTGATGTTGTCAAGTTGTGTTGTTGTCTTTGCTAATGCTGAGTGCTTATGTTTCTGCTTCTGTCTGAGTGCTTCGGATTATGGCTTTTGTTCAGGCGGTTTAAGCACTTAGACCTTTTTGCCCACCCAGGGACATCACTTGCAGGTTGCTCGCAACTAAAACACTCAGGGGTCACTCCAGGGGAACTGGGCTAATTGGGCTGCTCAAAATACCACACAAGAGACAGAAATACATTTATCTTTGGGGGTGCTGTGACAGCTCCTCTGACCTTAAGGGTCCCTTGGCACAGAAAGAGAAGAGACCATGTGCTGGCCCCTTTTATGGAGGAGAAGCTATTCAAATGAGGCAAGAGGTCAGTTTTCAAGGGGCTGAGTCTAGCTTCATGATGTCTGCTGTCAGCAGGTTGACTGACATATAGACAGGCCACACCCAAGGGCTGTGTAAGAGAAGGGGACACACAAAAGGTGATTCCATGGAACATTCTATCCGAAACAGGGCAAGAAGTAATGTTGCAAAGGAACAGGTGAGTGTAGCTCGATCCATGGGGCTGTAGGAAGGCACGCCTATGCAGGAGACATAGTGGCTGGAACCCTAGAAGATCCAGGCTATCTAGCAGCCTGATCACACCACTCAGCAGGGGAGATGGACCCAGTCACATGCTAGTCAGCATCCCTCCCACATCAGATATATTCTTTTCATTTGGCTTCACAGTGACCAATGAGAGAGAGATTACGTCTCCATTTCACAGATGAGGAAATTAATGTATAAAGAGATAGTTACTTTTTCAAAGTTAGAATGCCAGTGTAATTTGTACCTAGAATTTGAATTCATCTGCTAGCACTCAAGTCTCTAGCTCTTAATCAGCTATTTTTCTCAGTTAATAATTTGTATCGAATCTGACTACTAGAGCCAAGGCTTCCAGTCCAAATGTCTACTCGTTGTAGGCTATTCTGGTCTCTTGTTTTTCCAGAGGAATTTTATGACTGCTTTTTCTATTTATATGAAGAATGTCATTGGAATTTTGATTGGAATTGCATTAAATTGATATAGTGCTTTTGGTAGTATGGTTATTTTGACAATATTAATTCTGCCTATCTAAGAACAAGGGAGATTTTTCTCTCTTCTAAGGTCTTTTTAAATTTCTTTCTTTAGTGTTCTATAGTTTTCATCATAGGGGTCTTTCACCTCTTTCATTAAGTTGATTCTCAAGTATTTTATTTGATTTTTTTGAGACTACTGTAAATGGGTTAGTTTTACTAGTTTCTCTTTCAGAGGATTTGTCACTGATGTACAGAAATGCTTTTGATTTATAGGTGTTGATTTTATATCCTGCTACTTTGCCGAATGCACTTATAAGTTCTAGAAGTTTTCTGGTGGAATTTTTTGGATCCTCTAGATATTGAATCCTGTCATTGGCAAATAGTGATAGTTTGAGTTCTTCTTTTCCTATCCACATCTCTTTAATTTCTATTTTCTGTCTAATTGCTCTGGCTAGAGTTTCAAGAATTATGTTAAAATGGAAGAGGTGAAAGAGGGCATCCTTGTCTTGTTCTAGTTTTTAGAGGGAATGCTTTCAATTTTTCTTCATTTAGAGTGATATTGCCCTTGGACATAGCATAGATAGCTTTTATAATGTTGAGATATGTTCCTGTTATCCCTAGTTTTTCTAGTGTTTTGAACATGAAGGGGTGTTGTATTTTGTTGAGTGTTTTTTCTGTATCTATTGAGATGATCATATGATTCTTTTATGTCTATTGACACAATGAATTACATTTATTGAGTTCCATATGTTGGACCATCCTTGCACCCTTGGGATGAATGCTACTTGATCGTGGTATGCTATCTTTTATATGTTTTTGTATTTGATTTCCTAGAATTTTATTGAGAATTTTTGCATCTGTGTTCATTAGAGATATTGGTCTGAAGTTTTCTTTCTTTGATATGTTCTCTTTCTGGTTTTGGAGTCAGGATGATATTGGCCTCATAGAATGAGTTTGGAAGTATTCCCTCTTTTTCTGTTTCATGAAATAATTTGAGAAGTGTTGGTATTTATTCTTTGAATGTCTTGTAGAACTCATCTGTGTATTCATCCGGTCCTATGCTTTTCTTGGTTGATAGGTTTCTGATGACATCTTCTATTTTATTGCTTGAAATTGATCTGTTTAACTTGTGCATATCATCCTGATTCAGTTTGGGGAAATCATATGACTCTAGAGATTTTTCAGTGCCTTTGATAGTTTCTATTTTATTGGAGTACAAATTTTCAAAATAATTTCTAATTTATATTCTGTATTTCTGTAGTGTCCATCGTGATATTTCCTTTGTCATCATGGATGTTAGTAATTTAAATTTTCTCTTTCCTTCTCTTTGTTAGTATAGCTAAGGGTTTATCAATTTTATTTATTTTTTGTAATAACCAACTTTTTCTTTTTTTTAATTTTTTCTTTTGTTTCAATTTCATTGATTTAAGCTCTGATTTTAATTATGTCCTGTCTTCTACTGCTTTTGGCCTTGGTTTATTCTTTGTCTTCTTGGGCTTTGAGATGTAATGTTAGGTCACTTATTTGTTGACTTTTTCTTCTTTTAAGGAACAAATTCCATGCAATGAGTTTTCCTGTTAGTACTGCCTTAGTAGTTTCCCAGAGATTTTGATATGTTGTGTCAGTGTTCTTATTTACCTCTAAGAATTTTTAAATCTCCTCCTTGATGTCTTTCGCAACCCCTTGTTCATTCAATAGCATATTATTTATTGTCCAGGTGTTGGAGTAGTTTCTGTTTTTTATATTATCATTGATTTCTAATTTCATTCCATTACGATCTGACAGAATACAGGGTAGTATCTCTACTTTTTTGTATTTGCTAAGAGTTGCTTTGTGACATAATATATGGTCTGTTTTAGAGACGGATCCATGTGCTGCTGAGAAGAAAGTGTATTCATTTGTTGATGGATGAAATACTCTATTCTATATGTCTGTTAAGTTATTGATTGTATTACTGAGTTCTGTAGTTTTTTTTGTTTAGCTTTTGTTTGGAAGATCTATCCAGTGGTGAAAGAGGTAAGTTAAAGTCACCCAGAATTATTGTGTTTTGGCCTATTTGATTTTTGAACTTGAGAAGAGTTTGTTTGATGAATGTAGATGCTCCATTGTTTGGGGCATATATATATATATATTTATAATTATTACTTTTGTTGATGTATGGTTCCTTTAAGCCATATGAAATGTTCTTATTTATCCCTTTTGATTAACTTTGGCTTGAAGCCTACTTTATTTGATTTGAGGATAAAAACCCCTGCTTGTTTCTGCAGTCCATGTGAGTGGTATATTTTTTCCCAACCTTTCTCCTTCAGTCTGTGGATGTCTTTTCCAATGAGATAAGTCTCTTGCAGGCAGCATATTATTGGGTCTTTTTTTTCCATCTAATCTGCCAGTCTGTCTCTCTTGATTGGTAAATTTATGCCATTAACATTCAGGGTTATTATTGAGACATGATTTGTATTCCTGGTTGTATTTATTTATTTTTGGTATTTAACTTGATATTTCCTTTAGCATAATACCTCCCTTTGCTGATTTTTATTGTTTTTTGTTTACTCCTTATGGAATATTTTGCCAAGGATGTTCTGTACTACAGGCTTTCTAGTTGTAAATCCTTTTAACTTTTGTTTATCATGGCAAGTTTTTATTTTGTCATCAAATCTAAAGCTTAATTTTGCTGGATATAAGATTCTTGATTGGCATCCATTTTCTTTCAGATCTTGGTATATGTTGTTCCAGGACCTTCTAGCTTTCAGGGTCTGGGTTGAAAAATCTGCAGATATCCTAATTGTTTTCCCCCTATATGTAATCTGATTCCTTCCTCTTGTGGTTTTAAATTCTCTCCTTATTCTGTATGCTAGGCATTTAAATTACAATGTGCCTTGGTGTGGATCTGTTATGATTTTGTACATTTGGAGTCCTGTAAGCCTCTTGTATTTGATTTTCCAATTCATTCTTCATGTTTGACAAATTTTCTGATATTATTTCATTGAATAGATTGTTCATTTTTTTGGTTTGGTTTATGCCTCCCTCTATCCCAGTAACTCTTAAATTTGGTCTTTTTATGTTATCCCATATATCTTGAATGCTGTACTTATGGT